CAATGGCTGGAGCGAAAGGGGCCAGCGGTGGTGCTTGGTAACACTGGCCACTGAGAGCCATGAGATCGACAGTGACAGGCGTGATAGATGGTGATGAGAAACAAGTGATGGTGGCATGATTGTGAGTGATGCTCATTGAGGAGGCTGCAGATGCCACGGTGCCGCTGCTGGGAGAGGACTGAGAGGATTACCAAGGGAACTGGATTTGTTATCTGTTTGTATTTGTTTGTGGCAGCGCGTGGCATGTGGTGGTCACTGAGCATGGAAGAATGAATGAAAAGAAGAGGATTTTTTTTTGTATAAAAGAGAACCAACTGAATGAAGAATGGCGAAAGAAGACCACGAAATATTGATTGTAAATGAATGATTATCGTAGAATAAAATTGAGAGGGACGTAAGTCATTAAATTTTACCATGCTCATTCAAACATCTTTTTCTCTAGATGTACAGTTAAATATGCAGCGAATAACCAAAAATGCGTAAAGCCATTACAGTGGTTAAGTATCGATATCATTTACCATTTATTGCCTGTAATATTAGTTGTATGAGTAATGGTCGTGTTAATAATAGAGTAATCTAATAATAAAGTAGCAGTATCATTGTCACTACTATGATCGTTACCACCACTTTCACTGTATAGTCAATGTTTTGTGTTCTTGTTTTTGTCACATCATTTATTTTATCCACTGTTAGTTTCTTGATTACCATTATCATGTTATCATTACTGTTAACCGTTTTATCTGTAACAGTGGTTTTCAAACTGGGGGTAATTACCAATGTGGGGATCATGTTTCCAGGAGGTAACAACGCTCTTTCTAAATTGATAAATGTTAATGATAAATGCATACATAAATAGGGAAGTAAATAAAACAGAAGGGAAAAAATAACACTCATCGGGAACTCAGAAAGAGGAAGATTGATTTTCTACAAAAAAGATGCATAAATAGTTAAGTATTCATTTTTTTTTTTCTTTCTTTCTTTCGTTTAACCGCTACGACATATCTCAAGGGCATTGTGATTTGACTAATTTTTCACAATATTGCCAGGGGTAACGAAGCCAAAAGGTTTAAGAAGCTTTAATAACGTTTATTCATTGTCGTTATTACCATTTACTTGTTTATTGTTCTTGTCATCATTGCTCTGAATATTATTGCCGTCATTATTATTACTATCTCTGCAGTTGTTATCATTATTACTATAATCATTGTTATTGCTGTCGCTGTTCTTATTGTCTTTATTACCTCTGCCAAGGAGGTTATGTTTTTGACAGCGTTGGTTTGTTGGTTTGTTGGTTTGTTTGTTTGTTAGCAGCGTAACTCCAAAAGAAATTTTGGGGACAAGTCAGAAAGGGACTAACTTAGAACTGATTAAATTTTGGTGACATTCCGAATTACCGTCTGGACGCAGCAGCGGTGTAAGTACATTATATACGCAGCTTGGCAGAGGTCTGCACTCTCTGAGTGCTTTTCTAGTTATTACTATTTTCATCATCATCACCCTCATCATTATCATCATCATCAGCAGCAGCATTATCATTGTTATTATTATCTTTACTTGTTATTATTATTACCTCCGCCAAGGAGGTTATGTTTTTGACGGCATTGGTTTGTTGGTTTGTTAGCAGCGTAGCTCATCGAAATTTTGGGGACAAGTCAGAAAGGGACTAACTTAGAACTGATTAAATTTTGGTGACATTCCGAATTACCGTCTGGACGCAGCAGCGGTGCAAGTACATCCGAAAGATAATCATGATATTTTTGGACTTGGCCGTGTCCCGGGTGTCACTGTGGATGCAGTAGCGGTGCAAGTACATCCGAGCGATAATTATAATGTTCTTAATTAGACTTGACAGCGTCCCGCATGTCACACTCATAAAAAAAACATAATCACCGTCTGGATGCAGCAGCGGTGGAAGTACATCCGAACAATGATTATGGTGTTCCTAGACTTGGCCGCGTCCCGCGTGGCATACAAAACACACACACACACACACATGCAAAATGCGGTTTGAAGAGATGTTGTACACATACTTTTATAATACATGTTGTGGATGTGAGTTCTGTGAATTTCGTATTGTGTTCGAAATAAAATACTTAAATGACTGTCTTCGTTTGTTACGCTAGGCGAAGTGGGTGGATCGGACGGCTATAAGGGGTGAGGAGGAGGCCGTATACACAAAAAAGTCATATCGTGTTTGGTGCCGTGTATAGTGTGCGCACGTAGTACATAATGTGTTCAAAATTTAATTTGCCAAATATCGTTTGAAGAGATGGTGGCAAGGAGGAGGAGGCCGTACAAAAACAACATACGACTTTGGTGTCGTATGTTGTATAAAGTATTTTGTATTACTTTATTATATAATGTTAATAAAATGTTGTTAAAAATGGCCCTCATACACAATTAAAAAGCGAAGTTTAGCTTTCTAATTGTGTATGAGGGCTATTTTTTTTAACTTTAACCCCAAATTCTCACTGATATTTATTTTCGCGTAAAAATGTTT